GATGACATCAGTTTTGTTGAAAAAAAAATAGCTTCCTCATGCAGTGAAATATTATAGATCACAGATACATACAGAGCCATATAGTTGCAATATACATTACATTTGTAGGAAAATTGTTTAGCATCATGGCGGTGCTCTTATGAATTTACTACAACTTATACATTTTTGTATGTAGCCATTGTGATTTACGAAGCAATTTGAAATAGGTTTTTACATAAAAAAATGTTAAACATTATTACGAAGTCACCCTTAAATTGATTAATACACACCTAGTTGCTAAGAAACTGTCACGAGTAGTCCTGAGTCATGGTGATAATAACATTCTTATTATTGTTATTACAAAGGTTGTTGCATAGGTTAATAATTGTAATTTATAACAATTGACTAAGATTTTTAATATTGAAATAGGTGAATCATACCGCATATGAGCAAAAAACAATAACTGACACCTACAGTTTTAAATTACGCCATTGTACAAATACAACACAAATGGTTAAATATGATTAAACTTTGAATAATACGCCCGTGGCCTCGCAATGTAGTGTTAAATACTTAATTGCGTTGTACTTACCTACTTAATAAATGTAGCCACGGCTCTAAGGAATGGAAAATCGATTAAGTTTCCAAGTAAAGTTTCACACATAATAACTCGACTATTAAAGGCCCGTTTAAAGGTTTCGCTTAGTGTGTCTTCTAATCATTTAAATCAAAAAAATTAAATGATATTATTTTGTAAATTCCTTGCGTCGCATATTGCTTTTCTTGTTGCTCTGATTTTAGTAATGGTTATAACATTTACGAAATCGTCTATTCTATTAAACCAACCATTACTTGTTTAGAAGAAACTATTGGAAAAATTAAACATTACATAAAAGTTCACGTAGCACTCAACGGGCGACGAAACATGTTAAAATTTTGATAAATTAATTGTAAATATCTGGCCATTTCAAGCAATGGATCCAGATTTCCACTGTTTTTTGTTAAAATTGTCGATAAAATAACAAACTAACTGGAGATAGTTATAATTTTCATTGCATTCTAAAAGAACAGTAATATCGGCACACTATGCAGCATTATTACATTACCTATTTGATATATTCTTGATATGATCTGTGATATATCCTTGGTATTTGCATTGAACAACAATGCGAAGTAGCATGGCATGTGTCCATTATTATCATTACCTCAATATCTGAAATAAAATTCAATTCACTTTATTTGGTTAAGGACATTTGCCATTTAGCACTTCGTTACCAAGTATGACACATGCAAAACTGCATCAGCAGTTAGGTGGTGGATAGCGTGATGGTATTTTGCATGTTAGGAGTCACTTTTTCCAGACTGTTTTAAATGTTATTATTACCGTTTATGTTTTCAAAATGCAATTTAATTCAAATATCTGAACATTTTATTCATTTTTATTACAGTCTGGCAATTTAGTAATCAATATTAGCATGTCAATGACCTCAGCCGCAGTTAGTAGTTATCAAATAGGTAGTTAATCGTATGGAGGTGGAGACTTTGTAGTCATCTTTAGCATGTCATGAGGAAAATTTTTAAAAGCGTAAAAATAATGATCAGTTACGCACAATGTTCCCAGTTGCTACAGCTGCAAAAAATCAATAGTAAACCTCGCGAGCTGAGGTAACTAATGTCTTCTGCTAAATTGTGAAGAATCGGAAACGAAAAAATATTTCAACAATTTCAATTTATTTATATTCATATCAAAAATAATTATCTTCCCTTGTAATCTACATTCCATTCAATGAAACGATTTGAATTGCATTCCTTAATCAAATTATGGATGGATGCTTGCTTACAACTATCAAAGCACCTACTTCGGACTCAATGACTACCTACACAAGTGTCAATAAGCATTTACTTCCAAAAGGTTATCTCACAATGTCAGTTGGTTAACATTAGCTATCTTAAAATTACTAACCTAATTGTACTTGTACATGTTGGACAACACGAGTTTGTATGGACGAGTAACGTGTCGTAAAAGGAGTCGCACATTGTGCAAAAATATGTACCTCTTTCTTGATATTCTAAAGTTAAATTAAAAGATTATATTCTACTTCATCTTAACTCCACTTTAGTCCTCACGTTAGCGTCACCAGACAAGAGTAAAACATTTGAGACAATCATTAGTTAATTCCATTGTTGTAGAAATGCACATGAGGCAACAATAAGTCCGACTAACGAGAGAGAACCATTACATTCCATCAGCTCACCAACCTGAGAAGTAATTTAGCTTTGGGCATTCAATTTATATTTTAATAACACAAAAGCAAAATAAAATTTAAGACAATACTTTTTTGGCTTATGAAGTTTGCAACTGAACACTATCTTTTAATCAGAAATTAGTGCTGACAGTCTTTTTATTTTTTATCGTTTTGTGCATTGATATAATACTTACATAGATGAGTAATTACCGCCTAAAATCGTTGCTACTGCACATCTGTCCACAGGCATATGCGTAGCAAACGTCAATTCAGTGTTCAATGTGGCGTCAACCGAGTTGAACATAGCGACACATGACAGTAACAATCGCCAAAATGGGTAAATGCGTAGTGAAAGAATGCGATTCAACGTCACAAAACCATAATAAATCATGCGGAATTACTTATCACGTGTAAGTTTATGGTTTTTATATTGATAATATCGTAAATAAGGCTATAATTGAAATAAAACATTGATAATTGTAATTTAGAATCAGTGTTACCATTAAAAAATCATTTTTGTTTTCCCACATTAGTGGGAGAATTTATAATTTATGAAATAATATGCTTTTATTAATAAAAAATAATATAATTTTAAAATAATATTTAATAATAATAAAATATAGGCAGAACGGTAGTTGCTAGGGCTGAATCGATCACTTTTTTTAGGGATCCGTTGAACGTTCACCTTCTGCCAAGCTCGCAGTGCTGGAGACTTTTGTATAAAAGAATTAATTAATTCATTCATTCATTTTTCTTAATTAATTATCAAATATAAATAACAATTGTACAAAAAAAATATATAAATAAAAAAGTAAATAAATATATATATATATATTTTTATTTTTTTATTTGTATTTTAAAATATTAAAAGAATTTGCAATACACCCTGGGGATTATTTATTATCAGTACAAGTTGATCATTCACTTTTACTATTAAATGCCATTATTTATACATAGGTAAAAATAAGATTGTATCATGAAAGTAAAATATTCACACAAACTTATAAAAAAGAGTCTAAAAAAAGAATCATCAAAATCGGTTCACCTAGTCAAAAGTTCTGAGCTAACAAACATAAAAAAAAAACCTCCTCCTTTTTTTGAAGTCGGTTAAAAAAAGACAATTGTATACAAAACATCAGTTTTGTATACAATTGTCTTTTTTTCTATCAAACTCTGCTATGAAGCATCAGCTTCATAGCAGAGTTTGATTTTACACTGAATATAAACCCTTTTAACCAAATATTTCTACTTATTTTATTATTTATACCTATTCCATTCAATTCGAAATATATTATTTAAAATATTTAAATTAATTTATTTTATTACAAAATTGTTTAAAAAAAAATGATTCTTGGTTGTTATGGGTAAACATTCATACGGTAGTCAACACTGGCCCACCATCGTAAAGTTATGTCTTTGTCTTTGTCTAATCCGAGCGATGGTATTGTTCTTATCTCGCGTGTAAATGAGACATAAATATGTTTACTTTCAAATGTTTCGTGGTATCAAAGCTACGTCGTCAAAGTTCAAAAGTGGTTACACTTTTTTCGACGTGTGATAATGAGGTTTGCTTCTCTAGTGTTGTTTTAACTCAATGGTTTTGTGCACAAAAAAGTTTCAAGTTCACGTTTCCAGTTATTTGATATAGCTCGGCTGGTGTCAAAAACAAATACATTTAAAAGTGGGTGAAGATAGCTTTTATTATACTTACATATTATGTCTAGAACTTGCACGTACATTACTATAGTAGAATTATTTTCTCCGTGCAGTTTGGGTCATAAATAGTCGGAGCGGTGAAGCGAGTATTTCGTTCTTTCTTCCACTCACGAGCCTTATGGGCGGGCATAGTGATGCGCATTATTGTTGTCGATAAGCGTTATCGATAGTGTATTTAGTTTTGTCATTTTTTGGGTTAGTGAATCTGTCAATTCTTTCTACTGCTCTACTCAAAATTTTGAGCAGTGGGGAACAACAAATGACTCATAACATAACAATGTCTCACCACCTTTGTATACCGCCCCGCCGCCCGCCGTGTACCTGCCTTTGATGACTCATTTGTTCTTATCGGGCCGGGGCCGAGCTATGGTTTATGACCCAAACTGCACGGAGAAAATAATTCTACTATAGTATTTATGTCTATCCATTTGAACCAACAAGTTGATTACAGCATGTACAAGTGACAACTGTAGTAATCTAATGTAGGTACACAACATTCTATAGATTTTATAGATAGTAATGCACTTTATAAATAGAGTTTAATTTGGGGCGCTAGCAATCTACCACTCTCGACTTTTTGATCGTGTATTGCAACAAATAGACTTATATATATTCATTGTTTTGATTAACTAAATTAATGTTTTTGTGAAGTGGAAGGAAGTAAAGAAATAAGATATTGTGTCGCCGACATTTTTTTAGCCACACGTGACTCGTGAGTTTTTTTCGATATATCTAAGGCTTTACTATACGATCTTATTTTAAGTTCAATTCAGTTAAGCTTCACAAATTTACATACTTTTAAACACTATATAAAGATATTTAGATAAGTATATAATGAAAACACTTACGAGGTGACGTTATAGCATACATATAGATAAGTTTACTTGACATTGATGATACTGGTTTTAAAGTGGGTTTAAAATAATGCACCTACGCTATATGATAATGTTATGCTTGTTTGTGTTAAAATACGAATTACAAAAACGAATGTTCGGTGGTTACGTAATCCTGACAAAAATATGAGTTAATGTGTTTACTTGAACATTGCCATATTCACAGTTCGACTACATCTTCACAACACAGCGACAGCAGACAATTGGCAGAGCCGAGCCACTGGGACAGTCTAAACTCACCCTTGATCCAGGATGAGGGTGACGGCAAGTCACTCAAGCTTCGCTTTGATGTTAGCCAGTATACTCCTGAGGAGATCGTTGTGAAGACTGTAGACAACAAATTGTTGGTGAGTATACTTTGGTGTTTTTGGTAACTTAATTACTCTAAAATAGACTATTAAGAACAAGTTTAGTCGATCCTGTTAAAACCTAAATATCATAGAACTCATATCATGACCATGAGCACACAAGGACGACATACAAAATTGATCGTAGCGCAAAGAACGAATTTTCTCTCCTCTGACAGTAATAAAAATTTTAGAGACTAATTCTTAAAAACAACCCTGATTGTCATTATAAATGAAGGTACTTCCCCCTCGGATAGATCTAAGATTCTGGAACTTGTGACTTTTGATAAAAAACAGAAAGGAGCTCAATTCTGATTTCGTTCCGATCATAAGTTGTTTCAGTTTTATTTATTTCTTACTCATAATCATAATCCACCTTAGTCAACAAGTGACTACATTCCGTGGCAAAATTGTACATGAAAATACAAATGACATATGTATATTACGATCGGTTCTTTGTAATTCCTTTTATGAAAAGTCGTAGATTAATTGGTTTGTAATCAAGTACCAATTCTTTGGTATGTCTTCATTAACATGATAACAAACTGCTTCGCTTCATTTAATTCTAAAGGCATGATTAACTAGCTTGTAAATCGTGTAGGAGTTATTTATGTTATGTCGTACAGCACAATTCCATGGCTTGAATAGGGCCATTACATAGTGCTTAGAATATCAATTAGCAACTGTAAATTTAAAGTGAATGCAATCACTTGTAAATCTTGCCGCATTTGTACAGCACGAGTTAGAATCGAGTTAAAAATGTGTAGGTATTAAAAATCAGATATCAAAGTAGTTAAAATACCATTCGCACGAAAAAACATGGCAACTAAATATTTTAACAGTTCGAGTAATTTGTTAGGTCGTAATACTCGTAATACTTGTAATGTACCTACCAGATATTTCTACATATCTGCTGGTGTTCGCTTACACGAATGTTTGGCAATAGGCGGTTTATATACACACAATGTTCCGCTTGACGTCATCGCTAAATTCCCGAGTGTTATTTTAGGCTGATCTATCACTGCCGCTCCGAGACGTTTAATGACCAATACCGCATATCGACATAGCCAAGAAACATCGGTTTAGGTAAACATAAGCTTCGTTTCATATGCATAACTCCGCTGTATCTTTATGCTGAATATTTAATCAGATCGCATAATGCAAGTGCTGTTTCTCTGAATAAATTACAAACATTAATTTAATTTATTGTACACTGGGATAACATGTTTTTACATGTCAGTATATTGCTAATTAGTTAAAGGAGTAGATGGTTGGTCACTGAATGTCAGCACTCCTTCAATAAAGACATTTCTAACTGGTTAATGAAGATAAATTATCTGAGAATAGTAAAGCGTTTATTTACAAAAACATTGTGAAAATGGAAAATTCTCAGAGCTGGCAGAAGGTCAACTTTTAAGTATTACTTTCGTTCATATAGCACTACAGTTATCCTTTTTATTCGTGTCAGCGGTTACTCGAGTGATTAGCCAAACAAAACTCCGGTTGCCAAATAATTAACTGTGTGCTACTTGTATTACAGGTCCATGCCAAACACGAAGAGAAGTCTGACACAAAGTCCGTGTACAGAGAGTACAACAGAGAGTTTCTGTTGCCCAAGGGCACCAACCCAGAAGCTATTAAGTCTTCGCTGTCACGAGACGGTGTACTCACCGTTGAAGCACCACTGCCGCAGCTCGCCATCACCGATAGAAACATCCCCATCCAGAAGCACTGAGCCCTCGCTTGCGGTCCGATAAGACACCAGCTATTCCATAATACTGTTAATTATTTATTTTAATTTACGTTTTATAAATTTAAGATGAGCAATTGGCGATATTTATTTAGAACCTTATAGAGAATCTTAAAATTAATTAACACTTGAAATCATTACATAATCGGTCAATTAGCGTTTTAGAAAATTTAAACGTTTAAATACAAGCACAGTTTGCTTAATGGATGTTGTAAAGCAACAGTGACATAGATATAATTTGGTGAAATCTGAAAACATATTCCAGCTACAGTTATTTTAATTTTTTATTGATTATACCGCGGTTGAGTTTAACATTCTATTCTAACAACACGAAGAAAGGCCAACATTATGGAGCTTAAATGTGTTCATAAAAATAATTAAACTGATACTTAATATAAATCAAAGGGCTAATTGGCGAATAGGCTATGATGACAACGATTGATAAAGTGTTATATATCTATAAGTACAGAAGTCCATTTTGCTTAACACGATAGCAGGTAGCTATTGGCAGCGGTAACAAGCACATTATTAAACACACCAATTTAACAGCTTTTAACATAATACACATTTATATTTTAGTACAAACAGTTGTTACGAATGTTTTAGATGTCAATAAAAAAATTAAAAAGCTCTTTGTTTTTTTAATTATATGCATGAAAAATTACCTCAATTCCCTAAGTTATAATGTCAATAAATAATCGCTAAGAAAAATACAGCTCAAGTACATCATTTTAAGTGGTTATCCGTGTGGTGACGGATTAAGAATACGTGTGTCACCACCCCCATTCATCCCGTGGGTGTCGTAAGAGCTGACTAAGGGAGCAAACTACGCAGGATATAATAGCACTGTAAAGAGAAGCAAAATTCGAAACAAACCCTATACGAGCTCGGCTGGTTAACGTGATATAGTAGGCCAAAGGCTCCTTCCTAAGGAAAGGCCTGTGTCCAGCAGTGGACTATTAAAGGCTGTTGATAATGAAAGTGGTTTTGAAGCCATACCTATATAACGAAGGAACATGCAAATAAAAAACAGTATTATTATGTATAATTCGGCAAAACGTTTTGTAAATTTTTAAAAGAATTTACAGAACAGTAATTTTTTTTTAACTATTATCTTAAAGTAAGCATTTGGCAGATCTTGAAAGGTATTTTTCTGTACCCTTTAAAACCTAATAAAAAAAGAAAAGAATATAGGGCGTTATTTAGCTCTGCACGGATGTCGTGGAGATTTAAGCGGTCATCTCGGTGCCTTCTACTCCGTCGAGTGTTGTGGGTTCGATCCCCGCATGGGACAACACTTTGTGTGATCTACAAATTGTTGTTCTGAGTCTGGGTGTTCGTTGTGTCCGTTTCATAAATGTTTGTGAAGTCCCCCGTGACACAGAATATATTCCTAGCGCGCGAGCTGTCATTTCAAAAAAAAAAACATATAGATCACCCATCACATCTATCTTAGTCATGGGACGCCTGAAGGTTGGTCGTCATTCGTTTTACTAGATCGTTAATATAAAAAAAATCCACAGTGACAGTGAGAAGGTAATTAAAAAAATGTCTATTATTAAGTATGTTTACACGAATTAAAGCACTTACTTTGAATACATACATATATTATATTCTCTTATTATGTACAGCTTTTAACTCAATGTCTCTTACGTACTAAGTGTTGAATTCAATAAACACAGACGGTGTGCGGTGTAGTGGGATTTCAGCTTGCTGATATGTACTATGTATTATTGATAGAAACGTGATAATCAAACAGAAATAAGTAAGTAGGTACATACTTACTTAAAAAGATCTCTCGAATAAGATATATTTTCAAAATACACGTTTTATTAGGATTTACCTTAATTTAAAGCGAATCTTTAAAAACATGTAATTTAATCTTAATTTGAGAAGCCCTCAACAATTTTTAAGAAGCGACGGAATGAGAAAGGAATTCAATGTAAAAAGGAATTTAACGAGAATCCACTTCGAAAAGAAGAACTGACTAAAGCTAAAATATTCACTTTCAAATTAACACTGATGCTGAAGTGTTTCGAAAGATATACACAAAATAAAATTTACTAGATATTTTTAGGCAGTATACAATAACCGGCTAACTACATATTATTTTCATTTTTACAAAAAAAAAAAAACAGTTTTACTCGTACTTGGAATGAAACTACTGATACGCTCCCATGAACCGTAACGTATTGTTTTATAACCTTCATCAATCACTATTCACTTCACTCAGGAAGGCACTAAAATCTGACTTTTTCTAGTGATTAATACCATTAAACAGGTATTTTTCTTTTTCTAGCTTTATTATTAGGACAGTATTCTTCGTATATACAAACAGCTTTTAAGGATAAATAATCATTTTGTGGTTAGTAAATAAATCGTAATATGTAGTTGTTTTATGTATACACTATACAGTGATGCGCACAGCATAACCTAACGGCTCGATTAATAGAGCTTCAATGTAGAGTCAATGTAGATACGAGTTGAAGAAAATATTATTAGGTAGGATAGTGATATGTAACTAAAAGGTATGGTTTTGAAGTTGCTAGGAACGTAGACTACTTCTTTATCGCAGAATTTTATAAATTATAGTCACACATGTGCAATAATGATTTATATTTATGTTACATTAACTAAGTACCTTGTAATACCTTGCTTTGCATATTTTCGGTAAGTAGGTAAATATGGTTACTCGTTGGTTGGCTTTTTAGTAAAAAATTATACATACAGATAAAATCAGGAATCTGGCAAATTTGGGCCTTTAGCGAAGCGTTTCTTTCCATTTTTTACAAGCTTTAATTTTTTTTTTCAGTTTAAATAAATGCAGAGGCAGAGTGGTTACTAAAAGTCGATATACACCATTCATATTTATAACTATATATATACTATATTTATATGGAAAATAGAGGAAGCGGACAATGATTTGTTATTAGAAATAGACCGTTATAACAGTAGGCCACATTAGTCTGACGGGGTTCCTTGTTTAGGCAAACGGCAGACCTGACGCTGACTCACATCGGCGGCAGTTCATTTCGCAACTATTTAAGCAACAGAATAAAAGGCCATTGTTTATGAGACTGTTGTACACACAATTCAAAGTCTAGTTTATGCAAAAAGGAATCAACATAAAAATTGTATTTTTTAGGTATGAGTTATTTAAAGCACGTTTGTGAGTCCCAGTCTTGAAGGTGGCTTTAGCGACAGAGTCATTTAAGAGGCTGGTTTATAGGTATAAAATGTAAATCCGAGAATTTCAAAGTTTTGTAATGTGAAGTCGTAAAAAACACGTTTTTGTGCGCGCAAACGCTCGCTAAAAAGATCAAAATAATGTACTGCGCAATTGTAAATATCTTAAAAACATCTACAAAAATGTCCGCGATGATATTAGTTTTTCTTCTAAATATAACCCACAGTAACCTTTTTTATCTTATACTACTCTGTGAAGAAAGTACCGGGAAAAGATCAATAATACACAAAATGTTTGTTAAAGCTCAAAGTATGCTCCTTCACAAACGATACACTTACGCCAACGAATAATCCAACCATCAAAACATTTTTTAAAAGCTGTTTCCCGCATTGAGTACAGTTCTCGCGGCGAATTCTCCTTTATGTCTTCTATCGTTTGAAAACGGGTGCCACGAAGTGGTAATTTGAGTTTAGGAAAAAGAAAGAAGTCGGCAGGAGCCATATCATATGGTAAAATATGGTGGTTGCTCGATGGTATTTGTTGAGTGTTTGCTTAAAAATTCGTTTACAATTATGGCCTTGTGCGAAGGCGCTTTATCGTGGTGCAAAATTCAAGAATTCAAGAATTTCTTTCCACAAATCTGGCATTTTTCTTCAAATTTGCTCTCTTAAATGACGCATAACGCTCAAATAATGTTCTTTATTTACTGTTTCACCTTCCGGCAAGAATTCCGAGTGCACAACACCGCGATAGTCAAAGAAAACAGTCAACATGACTTGACTTTTGATCGACATTGACGTGGTTTTTTCGGTTTTGGTTCAGTTGGAACGCGCCACTTCGAAGTTTGTTAACTAATTTGCATGTCAAACTCGTAAACCCACGTCTCGTCACCAGTAACAATGCGTTTCATGAATGTTGTTTCGGAATTGACTCGTTCTAGCATGTCCTCAGCGACTTTCATGCGATTGAGTTTTAGGAAAAAATCTGGTTTTTTGGGACTAGCCGAGCGGTAACATGTTTCATACCCAAATGATGAATTAAAATGGTACGGATTGACTCGTGAGATACAGAAAGTTCGGCGGCTATCTCTCTCAAAGTTGAATGAGGATTTTCAGTCACTATTTCCTTCACTTTTGCGACGTTAACTTCAGTTGCAGTCGTTGATGGCCTACCAGATCGAGGCAAATCTTCCATCACATCTCGACCGCTTTTGAACGCTTTGTACCACTTATAAGCACGTGTTTTTGATAAAGTCGATTCACCGTAAGCCTTCTGTAACATTTTCAGTAACTCCGAACATCGAAATTCCATTGGCGATGCAATATTTAAGACAAACTTTTCGTTCGATGTTTTTGTCCAGAAAACACACTAGATATGATATAATTAAAAACAGCACTGTATTTAATATAAATAACAGATGCAACTCAAACTCCGCGCCAAAAATGGATAACAGTTGTGCCAATCTAACAAAAACAAAAACAGATTTGAATTTGGAACCATAATCAAATCATCCATTCCCGATACTTTTTTGACTGAATGTAGATATTACAAAAAATTATGGGTAATTACGTAGCTATTTTGAACAAGACAATATTATTCCTTATCCAAATAAATACGTTAGATACGTTGTGCATTTAATGTAGATCAAAATTGCCTTTCACAGCATATCACGAAGATGAACATCTTAGTAAATATCAGATATTTAAAATGCGGGGGCAAAGCGGCCGTTGCCTCGTCGGACCGTACGTCTTCTATCCCAGGTGACAGCGGCCGGCAGGAGAGCAGCGGGCCTATAAAC